TCATAGTTATTTAATTTCATAGTTGATTGTAGCCATCCAGTGAATGAGTTTAAATGAGAATTTTACCTTTCAATGCGTTTAAAATCTATCGAAGTGAGAACAACTCAAACCCTTGATACAACAGATATTTAACATGAAAATGTTTCGCATTCTAAAACCCAAAAAATAATTTTAATTACTAGATTTGCCAGAATATTGTTCCATATTTTTAATTAAATAAAATCTCTCTTAACCAGCATTTCAATCTACTGTGTAATAGCATATACGACGTTTGCATGAGAAAAAAACTTAGGTGCCCAAATGGTATTGATTTACTGTTTTCAACACGCATGAATTCTTTTCAAAAAGTTGTTCTTTTTAAAAAAAAAAAGTTCAAATGCTGTCGTAAACGCCACGACTGTATGAATTCTTGGGATATATTTGATTCATCGAAATAAATTTTCGGCGGACGATAACTCGTTTACATGTTAATTACTCATTCATTTTACATGTTACATTTTTTACATGTTAATTACTCATTTTAATTTCCCGTTTTCTACAAAGTAAATGGAGTTGTTTTTCTTAATTCGGACCACATACAAATTTATATTATTAAAGGGCCTAAATTCCCCATTGAGGTTTGTTTTAATATATTGCAATTTAAAAATTCGTTCGGTTTGAAAATTGTTAGGAATGACCTGGGTATTCAAACATTATTGAATAATATTTTTTATCGCACGAAAGTTATTGATACGAATTTTTCAATACGAAAATCAAAGTTAGAATGGATTTACATTATAGTTGCAACTCTTCCGTTGAAAATTCACAATCAAGACTTGATTGAATTAGGAAAATTGGTAAAAAATTGGTAAAAAGTATTTTTTTGTTAAGCTTTTAATTACAAACTATTTCAAAAGACTTTCGTATTATAAAACAACTTGAAGCATGTAGATGATCTTATCATCGGCAAATTTAAATATGCGAAAGTGATATGGCCGCTCAAATTAATATATATCATAGATCATATTTCAGTAAATATGGTCGTAATAAATGCGGTTTTACAAAAGATTATGGATTCGACTCAGAAATATTTTGTTTATATTGTTAAATGCATTGAAGCTGGTGAATAGAATCAGTTTTATTTCATGGAAGCATATGCGAAGCAAAAAATGTCACGGTCGTTACTCCGTATTTAAACTTTATTGAAGAAAATACTATGAAAGCTTCAATGCACAAAAATATGCCAAAAAATTCTTGGATAGGAATTTTTTAGTCTGAATGAAGCAAAACCAACTACTTGGTAAGATTAGGGCACGCAAAGTTGTTCGAGTACTGAACAACAAAACCAGTTATCAAAAAAATTTGTCCAAAATATGTTAAATTCGAAGAACAACTAGTTTTGACTTTACGGACCACTTACTGACTGATTTTACTGAGCGTCAATACCGTAATTATACTTCAAAATACTTATGATGGTACATATGAGTGCATGCGTAGCACATTCCTTCTCCCACAACAGGATTAATGATGTGCATCAAATTTATAAACTAGCCGAATATATTAAATAGGAAGTGCAGTCTTATTTTGGCTCGAATCCAGACAAGCAAAATAATAGAGATAATGAACTGTGAAGGAACACATTCAGATCGTTGAAGCTAAACCATCTTTGCATGGATTTATATTTTTTTATGGGCACTACTTTTTAGAGGTCAATGATGTTTATATTCATGCACTGAATATCAAAAAAATGCATAGCAATTAAATGGGATGTGAGACTGCAATGAACACGTACCTCAGACAACTTGAAGAGCTCGGTCTTTAAGCAAGACCAGTTATTTAATAATTTCGACAAAATAAACGTTATAAATTATTTATAAAAAGCTGACACGAGTCATGTTTCCCCCTCCTATGTTCCAGATTGAAAATTGAAGCGCAGAGCTTAATAAGAAAAGTTTTTGAAAAATACCTTTTATTCAATTTCACGTCTCGTGGTTGCTCATAACTTTTGAGATAAATTTGAAATGCAAAGATTGGGTCATTAATTTCTTCTCATGATTATTTGATCAAAAAATCCCTAATTATAATCACATGATCAGTAACTTGCTTGATATATGAACATATGTTTCCTTCAAAATATTTATTAACACTTGAGGTTCTGAGCAGCCATGAGATGAACGCTTGATGTTGCTGATGCAGCTCTGACTGATTCGTTTACTGACTGACTGTCTGACTGACTGACTGGCTGACTTGCTGACTTTAAAGATTGAGGAAGAAAACTATAACAGGAAGACACTGCTACTCTCCAGAAGCAGATTAAGCTAGAAGTAAGTAATCAAGTATAATGTTTTACTTTATTACGTACTGTGATGCAATGAACCTGGGCAAGTTAGCTTGTTCACGACACTCATGTTCAGTGCTTTAGGTTAGAGAAGCAGTGGTCTCTTTACAGAAAAAGGACATGCAAACACTAGCTTCTTGGAAGTATGAAGTGGTGATAGTCATGTTAAATTAACATGGAATAACTCTAATGTACAGCGAGCGGTTCGAGACAGATTTGCAAAAAGAGACTTGGTCACTCGGTATCGTTTGATAGGTTTTCGATAAAGTTATAGATTTGAATTTAGAGACACATAAGCTTACTTTGGCTTCATTGTTATCTGCTTCTGACGAGTTTAGTGTATCGCGACACCTTTGCTTTGGCATCTCCGGATCTTTGTTGTCGATGAACGTGATTTTTTGAAATGGTATTTATAAACAATTGAAATTTGATCTCATGAAGTCACCGGAAAAAGGTATCGCAACACACAATAACTTTTTGTTCACAACAAATAAATACAATTTATATCATTATTATATTATTTTTGGAAAATATGTCATAGCCCATCTTGGCATAGGTCTCATTTTGAGCTAAAAATAATACCATTTGTTACTTTTGAAAAATTCACAGTAATCATTGAGAATTGCTCTAATTAGATGAGTAAAATGATGACACATGTCCTTACTGAGAAGTAGAAACTGTATATTTGAGAACATTTCAAAATAATAATGTCAATCGAAAGGGTTTTACATCTTTATATATTAGAGGCAGTTACATTAACAAATACAAACTTTTATCAATCGTTAATTCGAGTGGACTTAGTTTATTTCAGTAATGAAAGGTGTTCTCAAATTTTGATAACTTTTATGAATATCAGCATAAAGCAAGATCTGTTTCATAATATTTCCCAATCAATTGAAATAAATAATTGACTGTTTTTGTTGTGAACACAAAGTTAAGTGCCAGCCTGCTCCCTCACCTCTTCGTCGTGGCTTCGAAACACCGTCAGCTGTGGTTGGCGAACTCGCTTCGTTGGCGTCTTCGTGTATGGTGTATACCTCGCCCGGTGAATGTTCGTAATATGTACCACTCCCTGGTATCAGTTCGGCTGATATCTCTATTTCCTCCTCCTCTTCCTCTACCTGTTCCGCCTTCTGTGACGCCCGAGAACAGTCCTCGAGGTCTCGTTTTATCGATGCTTTAGTCGCACACCAATCGTCAGGGTCTAGAACTTTCGGACGAGCGTATGAGTATGTTTTGACTTCGGATGTAACGGATTTTGTTACAAGTGATGTGTTTTCTTTATATATTGACTTTCGTGGCTCGGGTTTTGTGTACTCGACTTTCGTTTTTTCATTGAGCTCGGCAAGAATGTCTTTAGGCGTGTTCTTCTCCTCCTGCGGACCTAGAAAAGATAAATATTTTGAAACGTCGCTTTCTGTTACTTCGAAAATATTTAGGTCTTCTTCGGGACTTTTCTTGTCTTTATTTTTTCTCATTTTCTCGTCAACCTTTTCGATTACACGAGAAAGTTCTAGCTCGATGTCGATCTTTTTTGTCGCCTTTGAAATGGACGCTAAAATCTCTTTGTTCTCCGAAACAATGGCGTTGATTTTCGAAGGGCTCTGGCTCCTCTTTCGTTTTGGTGGCTCTTCTTCCTTCTCCTCGTGGTCTTCTTCATTCATGCGGTTTTTATTGTCGTCGGAGGTGACTGGAAAAAGGCTGCTAAGAGGCGGACGGTTTGGAGAAAACGGACAAACGGTTGTCGTGGGAGCCTCCAGTAACGAGGTGCTGTCGTCCCCGAAAACTGTCTTGAAAAAAGAAGGCTGTGGGGAGCTGTGCCCTCCAGCAGGGGGTGTGGTGTTCTCATCAGGGGCTAATACAGAAGATTTGTTTCTTCGACCAGATTGCTGAACTGCAGACTGCTGTTGTTGCTGCTGCTGCTGCTGTTGCATCCGCTGCTTGTGTTGCTTCCCTTGCTTTTTTATCTGCTGTTGAGATTGAGGTTGGTTTTGTTGTGGCTGATTTTGGTGATGTGGTTGACAGGGCGGAATTTGGGATTGTTGTTGACTTTGATATAACCTTTGTTGTCTTTGACGAGCCTGAACTTGATGTTGACTTGCTTTTTGTTGCTGTGGATGTTGTCTAAGGTTTTGGGCTTGTGGATGAGCCGGCGGTTGATGTTGATGAGCCTGTGTGTGTTGCTGTGGATGTTGTCTATGGTGTGGGGTTTGTGGATGAGCTGATGGTTGATGTTGAGGAGCATGTGCGTGTTGCTGTGGATGTTGCTTTGGCTGTTGGCGGGGTGACTGTCCGCGAATTTGAGAATCTTGATGTGGTCGGTGTTGAGGTTGAGACGGTGAGTGCATTTGTTGTTGCTGTTGTGGAAATTTCGGTTGTCGTTGCTGGGAATTCTGCTGTTGCTGTTTAGACCGGCCTGTATGCTGTTGTTTTTGTGTCTGTTGAGCATGGCTTTGCTGTTGATGTGGAGATTGCTGTTTTTGTTGATGTATGTATGGCTGACTGAGTTGTTTCTGGTTAGGAGATCGTGTTTGTTGTTGATAAGTCATCTGTTGCTGGTTATGGTCATCATGATGAAATTGGAGGTCATGCTGATCATGCTGTTCATAAGTGGTACCGTGATCGGAGTGAAGTGAAGCAGAATCCTCTTCATGGTACATGCTGTCATGGTCGTCGTACTCACGGTCTATTGGCCCTCCATGTTGGTTTCCGACTATCCCTTCTTGCCGGTTGTGCGAATTGATTTCTTGTCCCATCATTCCCTGTGAGGAAAACCGACGAAATTTAGTATGAAATTTTGGATTTAAAATGTAATATGTTAATAGATGTCAGAGTTATCATAGATGTGGAATATTTGCTAATAACACGATTAAATGATGCCTAGGAAGGAAGCGGGTAGGATTCAAGTGGATTTGTTATTGTTGCGATAGATAAAGTATAAAGTGCATTGCGATAATATAAACATGGCTTTTTCAAAACAGATCATTCAAGTTGTCTGAAATCTTGAGTTTAAAAATTAATTCTTGAATTATCAATATCTTTTTTGCGAAATTATTCAGATTAAATCATCATAATTATGAGTTATTTATCAATTTGCAAAGCGTTATTTCGTGAATTAATTTATAATGGCAAATTTATTAGAAAGTAGATTAATTGATTTACCATCAATGACCATTGATGGCTTCGAAGTCTAAAATTGACTAATAAAACTTTAGAAAATAGACCGGCGCTTTAAATTTGTGATAAAAAATGTATATCTGACCACCTGCTGCTCGCGTCCGACGACCTCACACTCAGCATTTGACCACCTGCTGCTCGCATTTTGACAACCTCGCACTCAGCATTTGACCACCTGCTGCTCGCATTTTGACAACCTCGCACTCAGCATTTGACCTCCTGCTGCTCGCATTTTGACAACCTCGCACTCAGCATTTGACCACATGCTGCTCGCATCAGACCTCGCACTCAGCATTTGACCACATGCTGCTCGCATCAGACCTCGCACTCAGCATTTGACCACCTGCTGCTCGCACTTTTACGGCCTCACACTCAGCATTTGACCACCTGCTGCTCGCATTTGACAACCTCGCACTCACCATTTAATATATTTATCAAATTTTGCCAGCATGCATAACAGTGCCATGTAATTCTAATACAACTAAGCTAAAATGCACGCATCAAATTGCTCTAGTTTCATAGTGAAGTAACAAATTTAAGCCTAGCTAGGGTCAGTAACACGGAAAAACGTTTAAATTATTCCAGTATTTCTGACAAAGCAAGCTTTGTTTGTTCAGAACTCTAAGCAAGCAATGAAGGGCAACGCACACTGTTTCATTCAAAATAAAAATAAATCATAAACAGCTAAGGTGACACTCTATTCACTCCAAAAATTTGTAGATTTCACGCTAAAACAAGGCGGTGGTTCATCATGCAAAGGCGGCAAAAAAAGCCTTTAGAATGGGTCGAGAATACAAGTCTCGTTCTGTAATATTTTCAACGAAATAAATCCCATTGACAATTATCCTTTGTGACCAAATTCAATGATGGAACTTTTGTGAGTAAGTGAAGTAGCAGATGACATATTATGAAATTAGATTTGAGGTTTTGTTCAAAACATGTTGATTTGCACGTTGCGAAGAGAAGTGTTTTTTAGTATTTCTAAAACAAATTTTTAAATACCCATAGTATTTTAGACATAACCATTACATTTTCTCTGCTTACTAGTTCCCAAATAACGTTTTTTACAAACATTTCGACATTACCATTATACCTAACTTCTAACAAACCACCTAATAAAATACTTCTCATCAAAATTTTTTAAAAGACCACTAAAAGACTGCCTTGTAATAATTCCACTCCAGACATACTTTATCAATATTTAGGATCCGGCCACTTTGCCTGTCATTTAATAGTTCCACTACTGAATTAATTTTCGTAGAGCATTCAACACATTATTACTCTATTTTTACTGTAACGAGCCCACTACTGACGTGTATTCATCAGATATCCCACAAAGAACCACTGTAATCTCTCCGGAAAAGTCCACTATACTGACGTACTTTATACATATATTCTGGTCACAGGGACTTTGATTTTCAAGTCATAAGCTCGCTAATTACATACCTGAAATTAAAATTCCCAACATAACCACTCCACATCCCCCGTAAGTTCAATACGGAGAATATTTAGACGCTTATCGCACCCGATAAGATCCTACCCTTGCCTTGGCATCTCTCGGTCCAGAGATGACATCACGTGCCCTAGGATCAATATTTGGATGATTGCCATCTTTAGGCACAGGTGTTGCCGGCTGGGCGGTTTGTATGGAAGCTCTTCGAGCGCTGCGCGGTGTTGAGAGCGGAGAGAGAACGTTGCTCCGACTGACGGCGATGGTGTTGGGCCGAGGAGGCACTTCAGCCTCCGACGACTTGGGGACTTCGTTGAACTGAGGAGACGATCCACTTTTGCTGGGGCTATACAAACTCTGCTGTGTCAACGGACTGAAAGGACGGGGTGTTCCTCCACCGGCCCCAGGGCTAGGACGGGGTGTTCCTCCACCTCCACCACCCCCAGGGCTAGGACGGGGTGTTCCTCCACTACCCCCAGGGCTAGGACGGGGTGTTCCTCCACCGCCAACAACACCAACAGGGCTGTTATTGATTGCAGAGTTTGGATGATGATGCTGTGGTCGTACCGTAGTTGAGACGCAAGGACTTGCCTGAGTGAAAAATGGATTGGCATGGTCATCCTTCAGAGCCCAAGTCCTAAAATTAAGAAGAACGGTCCCGGAAAAGACGCCACATTCGTTTTCACAATCGAATCGTTTACAATTTACACAAATCATAGAAAATACGGTGCTGGCTCTAATTAAGTCGACTAGGAATGAATGGACCAATGCATTATGAAACTTTTTTTGTGAAACCATATCTACTGTGGTTATTTGGTCGTTCTATTGTATAGATGAACTGAAATTCTATGTCAAAAAATTTTTATATGAAGCTCCAATCCTTAAGGTAACGAATGCTTCTTTCTTATTAACCTTCTAATATCATGCATCAAAGCAAGAAATTCTAGTACATGCAAAAGGTGATTTTATTTACACAGACAATGTAGTAGCTATATATTTTCCTTGGAAATTAAAGTCGATGCGATAATTATTAAAATAATGAAACTAAGCTATTTGTTTTGATGTCTTTCAGTGAAGAAAAATCTATCAAAATTTCTTTTCGTAAATATTTATATGATACTTTTTTGTATATTCTCCTGACTACGAGAAAAATCTTCAAATTCAATTTGATTATCGGACTAAATCATTATGACTCGAAAAATGAACACATTATCGGTAAGAAAGAAATTCAATTATACGCGGAAAAAGTGTTCCTTAGTAATATTTTTTAAACGTTTGATGGTTCACAAACCATGATGTAGGTATCAGCAGCAAACTAATAGCACCAAGTCATCACCAGACGTTATTATAACAAACTTTAAAGCAACTTTTAATATGGTTTTTCCGATCTTTTCATAGAGTTGATCTATGATCGGAATTCTATTTCTATTTTCTATTTCGTTCTATTTTCCATAGAGTTGATCGGAGGTTTTATTTTCACCCATAATCAATAGAATATATGATTTAGTTGCTGTTTATAAGTTTTGGGTCCACAAATTTGACCAAGATGGATTTTTGAGCGGTGCTTTTCATGCATGATAATTTATTTGCTTAAGTAATCAAGTAATTTTCATTATCACTGCAAGTGATACAACAATATAGTACACTTGAAAGCTGAAGAGAGCTAATAATGATCTTGGTGATACTGTTTCACTGGTCAGGCATCTACACTCAGGGCGTTGGCAACAAGATGCAATAAAACTGTACAGAAAGCAACCACAAAGAGAATGTAGTAGAATAAGACTGTACTTACAGGCATCCCTTTCGCTTTATCGAGTTTTCTTCGTTTGGAACAGTTCAAGCATACGAGCTCCTGCCGCTGTCGAAAGGAAAGAAGGAACTGGTTCATATTACTTCGATAAAATTTGAGTTTATTAAATAATATATCCTTGCAATACAAGAAATGCCAATTTTTTCATGAAATATATATCTTAAAATCAAAACTCGAGTTGAACAATTATGATACGATATAATCTCATAGGTAATGTTATCGGTGTTCGCTGTGATTAGTATAGCAATATAGAGGAGTTATTTTCATGATAATCATGTTTTCTTCAACTTAGTATGAATTAACTTGTAACAAAATAACATGCCCGCTATATTTTTGAAACTGTGGATGCGTAGTTTACCCTAAGGTAAATGAATAACTATTTACCCGTACTGTCAGAATTATTACCTATAGATAACTTGAATGACCAAGATTTAATCACATGAATTGATTGCTTGGTAGGGAGTTAAGCATATGACAGGTTAAAAAATTATTTGAACGCTCAATAGAACCTCAAGAGAGCTCAAACAATGAAATGCTAAGAAATTCTTCCGTAGACTCATTGAGGTAAGTAAATTGAATATTCGGAGTTATTTCCGTAGACTAACTTTTAGAAAAATAGTGTGTTGGCGGAAATATTATTCAGTAGGAGCTTCTCATATCTTTCATTATTAAAAATTTAATAAAAATAATCCCTCAGTGTCAACATACATTCCTAATTTGGTATTGGCCTTGAGATTCATACGGAACTTCATTAGAACTTGACATTCACCCTGAACTTCAGCTTTTGACCTGCTTGTTGAACTGCTCCTCAGACTTCAAATTCAAACCGAACTTAAACCAAACTTTACATTTATATTGAACTTGATCACAAACTTGACATTAACACTGAACTTCAACTCTGGCTTAACCTACACGTTGAACTTCTTCTCAGACTTCACATACATGCCGAATTTCAACTAACATTTTTCATCCATATTGAACTTAACCTTAAACTTAACATTCATGCCAAAACTCAACGAAGATTTTACATTCATATTGAACTTTATCAGAAGTTTTACATTCATACAGAACTTCATCTCGGACTTGACATTCATTTTGAACTTCATACCGAAATTTACATTAATAGCTGAAATTAATCTCATATTTGAACTTATGCTGAACTGATACTTAACAAAGATATTCAAACTAAGGTTCTGCTTCATAGTGACGTTGATCTAGAACATATACATAGATTTATGTTTCAAATATTTGTAAATTTTCACTTTAAATATTGAAGTTATTCAGCAGTGGGATCTACTTCAGCGCATATGCTAAAAATTTTGCTCACAATGAACTACAATAATTTAATAATCATTTTGAATTTTTTCTCCATGTTAATCCCAATTTTTGAACACAAGATTTGTTAAGATTACCTTGCCATCAAGAGAAGGCATAACCTCTGAGCAGCCTCTACATGCCGGGACGTGGCAGTCTACGCAGGGCTGTCCCAACACCGCCTGCCGTGAACAAAATTATATCTAACTATTATAGGAAAAATTTGTATTCTTAATTAAACATATTAATACTGAGGAAAATACTTATAGCTGAAAACCCTGATATTCTTAATAAATCCTTTTAAAATTGTGCGGGAAAGCGCTCTCTTCCCCATGCGCTTAACTCAAATCTATATTTATATATAAAAAATAAAGGCGTTCAATCAAAGTATAAACATAACATGTAGGACCGATGTATAAAGTTAAAACCATCAAACATTTTGTGCTGATCTAATCCTTCATTCAGGATGTTCTAAATTCGACTCAACATATGACGGTTAAAAATTAAGTACGTTGATTTTCATGAATTGAATGCAACGTAAAAAAATTGTACACCCAAAATTAGTTATTCAATTGAATTTTTTGTCATGAAATAAGTAGTCTTTGTGTTTAAGAATCAAAGTTATAATAATAGTTACGTAGATTATCAAATAATCATGTTGCGAAATTAAAAAATTATATAATAAACAATGTTATCAACAACAGGCCAGCAGCCAACAACAGTTACACTGAAATTTATTCTGAATTCAATGATTCATCAATAAAAAGATGAATTATTGCTCGAATTACTGACAGTTACTTCTTTTGCTCGAATTACTTCACTGTTTTCATTCCGCTTGTTTTCGCTCACCTCCTGATTGTGACAGATGCCACATTGCCGACTCTGTTGTCCTGGAGGTCCAGTGGTCAAGTTGTTGTCAATTCCTCTGAAAACAAAAACACAAATAATTTAATTAATTTGATAGAAAATGGGACCGGGTAGCAAAATGTTTGGTTATAAAAAGTTCCGGGAAACCGGAATCAGAATGAACCATAAATATAAATTTATCCAACTTTCAAGGTAATTGTCTGAAAAATGTCATAAAATATAACAAATCTTTTAGGAGTTTTTGATTACTTTCTGCATTAAGACAAGCGATTACTTGCTGCGTAAAGACAAGCAATTACTTGCTGCGTTTCGCTTGTTTTTTTTTGTTCTTCTTATAATGTTAAATAAAAATCAACATATCGAAACATTCGGAACAAGTTGTTGTAATTATTAATGAATAATGGCATAATATACTGTATTGGGTTAGACATAATAAGGGAAACACCTGAGAAATTCACAAAATATATTTCATTTTGGCGTATGTCCTCTTTTTTGCGTAAACTACAGCCTCAATTCTCCGAGGCATTGATTCATACAAATTGTGAATTGTTTCAAAAGAATTTTAAAATATTTATCTGTTAAAACGACATCCATCTCTTTTAAAGACGATGGCGGCAACTCTAAAATCGACCATAAACGCCTGATAAAATTCATGTCTGGTGATTGTGGAGGCGAAATGAGATGCTCAACTTCATTAAAATGTTCCTCGTGCCATTTTTTAGCAATTCCAGCTGTATGGATCAGGGAGTCATCATTTTGGAAGATGGCTTTCACCTCCAGAAACAGTGCTTGAACCATTTGATGAATTTGGTCTTCCAAAATTCCTAAATAGTCACGGCTGTTGATTCTTCTGTGAAGAAAAATTATTGGTCATCCGTATTCTCAAAAATAGCACCCCAGATCATCACAGATCCTCTGTCATGTTTTACTGTCTCCAAACGTTAAATCTGCCAGAGGTTGGAAATGTGGTAAACAAAGATTCGTCGGAGAAAATAAAAATTTCCATTGCTCGAGGGACTAATTCTGGGTGTTTTTTACACAACTATAAACGCATTTGAAGCATTTGTATTAGAAACCAGAGGTTTCCTAATTGCCGCTATTCCATAGAATCCAGATCTTTGCAGCTCTCGGCGTAAAGTCTTTATGGAAACTGGGTTCTGTATGTGTCCATTGCGGTCTGCCGTAATTTTAACAGCCGTGGTCTATTGATTGTCCCTTACAATTCGATTTAGACACCGACGGTCTCTCTCAGATAACTTCGTCTTTCGGTCAGACCTGTGCTTTGCAAAGGACGTTTTTCTTTCTCTTTGAAAAGCATTCATTACTTTTGAGACAGTACCTCCAGAAATGTCAAGCATTCGGAATGTTTCTGTCACACTAGCACCTGTCATAAGGGCATCGACAATTTGGCCTCATAAAAAGTCAGATAGGTTTTATATTACTTTATAGAAATCATTTATCGATTTTATGTGAGGCTATAGACAAAAATCATTAGAATACATGTGCAGGGATAAAATGGCAATTAGCAGCAACAATAAACAATAAAACATAAAATTATATCTTGTTTCGATTGTTTATAACATGTTCAAAAATTACGATATCAAAATGTCATTTATTTCCCTTATTTTGTCCAACTCCTGTATCAAACTAAAGTGTTACAACCACCATCGTATATAAATTTATACAAGTGCCATTCAGCAGGAGTATGATTTGAATTTTAACCTATGCTATAGAATTTGCACAAACAATCAACGTCAAGATATCACTCGACTGACGCACAAGCCGCCACACGGATCTCAAATTATACGCAACGCCACAACTGAGCCTAAAAAACCTCGCGCAACACCTGCGCAACTTGCGCCACACGAGACGTCAATCATACGCAACGCCACAACTGAGCCTAAAACATCTCGCGCAACACCAACACATCTTCTCAGCAAACGCCACATGCCACAAATCTCGCGGCTCTAGACAGGCATGCAATTTGCTGAGATGACTTCACGCCGAGAACAAAGCGAAAAAGAGAACAAGGCTTCATCCTTTTTGATATATAACCTGAACTTCCTGGAGAACTGACCTTCTGTATGATCTTAATTAAATTCATCTGCCAGGATTAGGCGAAATAGTATAATTTCATGTGTAATTTAGATGTATTAAATCAGTAAAATGTATCAAATCTCCACCTAAGAATGAAAAGAATGACAACCTTTGCATGAGGAGATGAAAATTGTCTTTCTTTGAAAATTTAATCAAGATGAAGATTTTTTCGCGCTTTTAATGAGCATTCATTTAGAAATTTTCAGCGGGTCGGTGATTACATTAATTCTTCTAAGCAGAAAGCGTACTTGAAAATTTCCGGCTTTTCCATTGCATATTATTCCATATTAATCGGAAAATGTATTTTCTTGAGTAGAAATAAGATTCGTAGATCCAAAATAGATGACTATACGGTTCGGCACCTCTTCAAGCTTCTCTAGCTAATTGAAAAAATATGAATTATATTTGACTAACTGAACGATGCCTGAAGCCAATGAACTTGAATTTGATTCAGGAATAAAACTCGATATAGCACTTTCACTTGCAGAACGAAAATTTCTTCACAAGGCCTCCATTGTTTGTCTAGCAAAGGCGAGCTCGTCAATTGCGATGTTCATTACATTCCTTAAATTCTTTTGAGAATTCCTGGCTTACCTTTGTTTTTAATCATGTAAATCGTCGGGTATTTAAGAGCTGAATTATTCTCCCTAAATACCATACCAAAATAAGATACCAAAATCAGCAGAATTTGAATAGGGAGATTCAAGCTGCCCGTGTATGTTACCTCACACTATTTTTACGGAAAAATATCATTATCAGTAGGCAATTTCAGTGAAATATTTTGTATGTATAATTTCATATTAATTCTCCTTAGTTTCAAAGGTATTATAAAAAACTGCATTTAAAATTCGTGGAAAAGTTATGAGACACCACACTTTTACCTTTACTTTAAACAAATTTATTTGACCTCCTCACAAATGCAAAATCTTATATCGTATATCAACATAACTATTGTAATGGGAATTTGCTATACCTGAGCATAATTGGATTCTTCGTGAATGTCATGAATTCCGTTGAAATTCCTAAAAAGTTCACCATATTTAAAAAGTTATGGCAGCCCGGATAGTTTGCTAACAGTTCCAAAAATTCTTGAGTTACTTTATATTCGCCGATGAGAATATGCATGATTTTTATTAGTAAATAACTTCAATCTAACAGTTAATTTTGATTGTAAGATATTTCCAAAGTATTGTCATTTCAAATTTTTAATTTGTCTCATGAATTTCGTTATTTAGGATACGCTTGATGGACAAAATTATTCATTCACATTACAATTGAAATAGATGAAATGTAAAGAATTAAATTCCTAAATGTATATTATTAATTTCATTTGCTGCATTAACAATGTGATTATGTATTAAAATTAATGTTTTGTTTCCGTTACAATTTAATGGAGATCCATGGAAACTAATTAGTTTCTTAGGTGAACTAGTTTTTTTTAATAGCGGAAACGTAAAACTTTGAAATGTTATTTTAAAAAAGTGTGTTTATTTTCGCATAAAAAAACGCTCCGTTAGTTAGTTTTCTGAATATTCAAATCATTTTTTCGTGAACGTAAATTTGTGCATTAAATATTTATTAATCAGTTCAATACTGATTGGAGGATCATAATAGTATATGTTACCAACGACCCATATTTTCCGCTCGTGGCTAAATTTAAAGAAATGAGTTCATATCTTCTTCAATCTTGAAATATCTTATTCTTAGGTAAATAATTTAAATTAATAAAATTACAGATTAGCAAAATTCAACTTAATATCCAATTGTTTTTTATTGTCATCGTTAAAATTGTTGGATTTTCTTCCCATTGTGAGCTTCGAAATGGAATTCTGGATCCATTCAACAGGTGCCACTTGGCGGGAGCTATCAACAGAAACGACCCTCTCAGAAAGTGAGTTAAATCACAATATAGCGAGAAAAGGTGACGACATAGCGAGAAAAAAACACGACATAGCGAGAAAAAGTGACGAGATAGCGAGAAAAAGTGACGAGTTAGCGAGAAAAAGTGACGACATAGCGAGAAAAAATCACGACATAGCGAGACAAAGTTACGACATAGCGAGAAAAAGTGACGAGATAGCGAGAAAATGTTACGACATAGAGAAGAAATATAACGACGCAGTGAGAAAAAATCACAATATAGTAAGAAAATTTTACCACACTTCAAAACGAAAGTTACGTCCGTGATAGACGGTGATCAAAGGTGATTACAAAAACATGTGTCGGCTAAGGCAAATGAATTTATGTTCGTTAGAGCAACGAAGCATGACTGGTAATTAAAATTTAGAAAATAAAGGTCTGATTAGTGATTTTCGAAATGATTTTAATGACTGCAACGAATTATATCAACATAAAATAAACAAATGTAATAATTGGATAATATTAAAAAATTTAATATCTATAATTAAAAAAAAACTCTCATAAATAAAAGAAAATTTACAAAGTTAACAGTTTCGAATTAAAAGCTTTCTAAAAATATTGTATAAAAGCTTGTTTGGTAATAAAAATTTATACCTAATAAAACTAAATTCAACATGATTTATTTAGGTTGATATATAAAAAAAGGAAATTTTATGGAAAATAATTATATTGAATTCCTATCATTTCGTAATTTATTTTTCATCATGAGTCACAATATAATTATTATATAATTATTACAATATAATTATTCTCATTTTATCATTAGTATAAAATTATAGATAGAAGGTAATTATATAATTATTTATAATTATAGAATATAGAAATTATAGATAGAAGGTAATAATCATATCAGATGATAACATGAACGCAAAACAAAGATACCAACTAAATTCAAAACTGTGCCTCATATTTGTTCTCACCAAAGATAGTATATATACGTCTTTATATATATTATTACTGTTTTCAGCTGAGTTTCGTTTATTCCAAGTTTTTGGTAGACACAAGATTTACGGAAACTAATCATATAATAAAAAGAATATA